GCTTATGAGATGGCACTCAAAACTCCACTAAGAAACCCGTCAGAAACGTATTTGCTGGATTGCCTCCTATAGGCATCACCTCCATTTCCTGCTCGTTGGTGTCTCTCACACACAGCTCTGTTCCATCTCTGTGCAATCCACCAACCCCATCTTCAAGATGCTGATCTATAGGTTGAAATGTAACAATTGATGAATTGCACATCAGTGTTTCCATGTTATTTTATTCAGTCATCGATTATTATAATACCTGTTTTGTGATTGCTGTGTGTGTAGATTCTCACTGTTCATGAACTCTTGGAAGTGCTTGCACAAAGGATAGTAACATCTCATCCTGTGTTCTTTGGAATCTGAAGTGCTATTAATATCGATTTAATCTATATATATAAAATCGTTCATGTCTGTCTGTCTGTGTGTGTGTGGACTTTGGCCCATACGCACTTTCATTGGACGGCGGTTGCCCCTGGCAACGGCTAGCCACGCCTTCGCCGCTTTCATTGGACCTGGCAACGGCTAGCCACGCCTTCGCCAAGGGCTGCAGTTTCATTGGACGGCGGTTGCCCCTGCCAACGGCTAGCCACGCCTTCGCCGCTTTCATAAGCTCCGTATTTAATTAAATAATAGCCATTACACAGTATTGTTGGAGCGCTAGGGGGGGGGGGGAAGGAACGCCACCCGTACCCTGCCTTTTCCAAGCCGACAATTTTAGGCGAGGCCGCAGGCTTTGCACGCTACTAGGCCTCGACACCCACCACGCCACTCTGAGGTAAATTCATCAAAGTTTTTCCTACTCTTCACTACACCCCCACCACAATGTGTGCTATTAATATTACTTTTAAACCCAACGCGCCAACAATCGATTACTTTAATGTTCACTGTACAAATACTCATTAAGCTGGGTGAGCGTACTGCCAGTCTATCATGTACACTGTAGCCTGCTTATTAAGCTCGGTGAGCGTACTGCCACTCTATCATGTACACTCTAGCCTGCTTATGAAGCTGAGTGCGTGTACTGGCAGTCTATAATGTGGACTCTTGCCTGGTTATTATAATCGATTCTTTATATGTTCTTTGTACAAACAGTCATTAAGCTGCTTGAGCGACCCCAGTTCGATTCCAACTCACGCCCACCACCGCTGACGATTATTTGAAACGGACCTGGCCCTCCCCTAGGTCCACTCAGCCTCAAAAGCGTAACTGCTGTCGTGTGTGAACATCGTCACTGGGGAGACAAAGGCGGCGGGGCATCGTGGATCCAAGTCCCGGGCGAAGCCGGGTCATGTGTATGTGTGTTTGTGTTTATGTGTATGTCTGTGTGTCTCTATGTATGTGTGTATGTATGTGTATGTATGTGTTTGTGTGTATGTGTGTGTGTATGTATGTGGGTTTTTTTTAATGTCTTTATGTGTATGTCTGCGTGTCTCTATGTATGTGTGTATGTACGTGTGTGCATGTGTTTGTGTGTATGTATGTGTGTGTCTATGTATGTGTGTGTATGTGTTTCTGTGTATGTATGTGTGTGTATGTATGTGTGTTACGTGTCTGTCTGTGTGTCTGCATGTATGTGTGTGTGTATTGTGTATGTGTTTGTGTGCATGTATGTGTGTGTTTGTGTGTATGTGTATGTCTGTGTGTTTGTATGTGTGTGTATGTGTGTGTATGTGTTTGTGTGTATGTGTGTGTATGTATGTGTGTGTATGTGTTTGTATGTGTTTGTGTGTTTACGCTCGCATTACACAAATGTGTTGCTGGTCTAAGGCGTTCCTCGCACAGCATTGCCGCTTTATTATTTCAGTCGTTTACTGCCTTACGCACCCTGAAAGTCGTGTGTGTCTGCAGCAAGCGCGTGTATGTGTACCTATGGACGCGCGCGCGTGTGTTGTGTAGGGGGAACGGTAGTGTAGTGCTTAGCGTGCTGTCTGTGTCTGTGTGTGTGTCTGTGTGTGTGTCTGTGTGTGTGCGTGTGTGGTGTGTGGGGAGCGGTAGTGTAGTGCTTAGCGTGCTGTCTGTGTGTCTGTGTGTGTGTGTGTCTGTCTGTGTCTGTCTGTGTGTGTCTGCGTGTGTCTGTGTGTGTGTCTGTGCGTGTGTGGTGTGTGAGGAGCGGTGGGTGTAGTGCTTAACGCTACGCTGCGCTACCAACCCGGCGAACCGAGTTCGATTCCCGCTCACGGCCACCACCGGTGACGATTATTTGAACCTCCCCTAGGTCGACTCAGCCTCAAACGAGTAACTGGTGTGGCGTATTAACATCGGCACTTGGGAGACAAAGGCGGCCGGGCGTGGTGGATCCAAGTCCCGGGCGAAGCCGGGTAGTACAGCTAGTATTGGTGTAATTGCATAGAGTACGATTCAGAAAAAAAATGAAAATAACAAGTATTCCTAAATTACATGTGTGCACCATCCACACCAGGCAAGAAAGCAGTTTTAGTTGGCCACTGACACACGACATTTTTGTAGAGAGGGGCAATTGTGAATTTCTAGTCTGCGTAGTCTACTCATATTAAGCTTTGCCAAAATACCAATCTTTTCTTTTCACATTCATAATTCCCAGCTTTAAAGTACATGGGCTCACAAACCAGAATGCACTGTCTCTAATGTGACATTTAGGTTAAAATGTACACCTTCTTTCCACCATGACCCACCCTGGTTATGGCGGCATGCAGATAAGCACATTTAATGTGAATGGAATGGTCCACAGTTAAAACTGACGCTTGTAAACATTGTAATTAATGTGCTGTTTTGGTTATCAGGCTACCACCATTTGCCATTGTCTACCTTTATGATTGTGCATATTACTCATATAAAATGCCCTCCTGAATGTTTTGTTTGAATCTGGTTGAATGTAATGTTTTAGTAGATATGTAAATGCACCAATTTAGAAGATGGATCTGTCTAAAATTATACAGACTGCTGTTTTCACATGTACTTCATCCAAATTATATGCATGCTGGTAATTATTTTTAAGGGAAGGCTTGTTATTGTGAGTGAGTATAACGCAGTTTAGTGATTAGTGATTTAAGCTAAATGGAATGTTTGTGAAAATCATAGTGTTTTGTGCTTATATTCAAACATACTTAACAAGTGTGCATGCTAGAAATATAATATGAAATACGCCACATAGCTATACAGTATGCATGGTGAAATAACATTTCATACAAGCAAAAAAGGACCCCGGGGCCGGCCCAGGACCCGGTGGCAGGACTATGTCGCTCGGCTGGCCTGGGAACACCTGGAAATTCTCCAGGAAGAGCTGAAGTTTATCGTCAGGGAAAGGGAGGTCTGAACCGGCCTACTCAACACGCTGCCGCCACGACCCTCATCAGGACAAGCGGATTGAGAAACGAACGAACGAACAAACGAAGGAGCAAAAAACTCGATTCTTTTCCAATATAAAAATTATTGATGCACCAGTGGTTGTAGAAACGGTTTTACTTTGAAACTATTGCAACCGATGTGGAAATATATTACTTTTGATGCCTCGATTTTACAATGCCTCTCGGAAATTGTAAAATAAATTCAGCATTAAATTGCGGTGATGGCTGATTATTAAATGGGCAAAGATTATGAAAGCCACAACATTTTATTTGATAGAATGTCTCGCGAGGCTGCACTGATCGAGCCAGGCGGTACGATTGTCACAGCACTCCAATGCAGAAGATTGCGAGTTCAAATCCGAATAAGGGGTCAACTCAGCCCTACACCCCTCTGGGATTGATAAAATGAGTACATAAGCACCACCCTATTGTAAGTGTACAGCGATTGTCCGATGAATGGACGTGCCTATGCCATAGAAATCTGGCATTTCCTCCACTTGCTGAGGGTCCTGGAGGTGACCACTGACTCCGTTCGTTTGCACAAGAAGACACACTGACAACAGTCCAGTGAAAGCAATGTAGATTTTACAAATGTTTTAGTAATGTGTTACTTTTAGACATATTGTTTTAAAAGGCACAACTCTAAAATGCATGACAGCTCTGCATAAACTGTACATCATTGGAACCTCATTTGCGTCATCTGGCAACACCATGTGAGACTAGGCTCTAAGGAAAGCTGTCTCTGGTGTGGACCAATCAACTTCAAGGACAGTGCATACATTATCAGAGTTGTGTTTTTTGTTTGCATTCCGACTGCAGGTATTGTGGTCTATGCAAACATGACTCCTTGTAAAAAAGGTGTCAGTTTTGTTGCCAGATAAAAGGGTAAAAAAACAATGATCAAACTGTGCATCCTTAACAAATATGGCACAGAATCATGCATAAGTAGCCCTGATTAGACATAAACCTGAATGACAATGAGTTGCCTACATGAAGTAGTACAGCAAGTAGGTTTCTGACAGGATGTCTGGATATCAGAGATGCAGTGTTCACCCCTAGTATGCTTGGGCTTTTCTCTGAGTACATTCTTTTCCTTCCACCAGTGACACAATTTAACTTTTGATTACATCTGGGAGAATAATTGGTCAACTCAGCCCATAATCTCTCAAGGATTGATAAAAGTACGATGATATAACAACTACTTCTGAAGTCACTTCGATAGACAGGAATATGCCAACTTAAGTTAAAAGACAATATGAATGTGATGGGTTATTTTGTTAAGCTTATGGAAACCATCACCTGATTATTTTTGATAACCCAGCTTAAACGTGGGTGGCTGAAACCTACATTTGAACACAGCAACTGAGCAGTCTTGAGATATTAGCCCCCTAAACCACCTAGTTACAACGTGGCCTTTTTACTGTAGAATATAGAGTGCAGAGTGCATTCTCATATGGGGTCCCACTGTGGCGAGATCTTAACTACCTCACTTGGTATACAAGAGTACTTGGGTTCGATCCCAACCCTGATGCCTGTATATTTGGAATTTGAACAGGTCTCCCCATTGTCGTGTAGATTTTTCCCCGGGCCCTCCAGTTTTCCCTTCACATTTAGAAACATGCGTTGAGAGTATTTGGTGGCTAACCATTTTTTAAAATTTAGTTTATATTGTATGTCATTGTACGGTACCTGACAGCCTTGAGGTGGTGAATGGGCACCAAGGCAGCACTAGACGATTTTCCAGTCATGGGAGGGATGCGTTTCAAAGCTGAGCCCTCGATGTTCAGCATGAAGTTGGTGGTACCCGGCAGTAGAGGTGGGTTCAGAATGGTCTCCTGAATATCACACTTCAGTATGACTGTGTGCGTGCGTGCAAGTGTGTGTGAGAGTGTGGGTGTGGAGAGCAGTAGCGCAGTGGTTAGCATGCTACGCTATAAATCCGGCGACCCGAGTTTGATTCTCGCTCATAGCCAACACCAGTGATGGTTATCTCAACCAATCCTGTGTCTCCTATAGGTTGATTCAGCCTCAAATGAGTACCTGGTGTGATGTGTAAACATTGCCACTAGGGAGACAAAGGTAGTCGGGTGTGGTGCTGGCCACCCACCCCCTTGTGTGTCATGCTGGCTGTTATAGATGCTCGCAAACGGCACTTTGACAAGAAGCCTGTAAAGGTTATATGGGGGATATTTGTCTTTGTCTTTTATCATCATTATCACACCGCACAGAAATCCCAGCGGCCCTGGTTCAATTCCTAACAACATCCTTGGCAAGTGATTTATTGACCTCTTCACCTTTTCTGGGCCTCTCTGAGGTCAACACAAACACTTTTTGTAGTCAGCAAGCATCAGCACTGGGAAGACTAAGGTGGCAAGATGTGGTGTTGACTACACTACTGCTTCATGAGCTGTATCACCCTTAATAGTTTTTCGCTGGCTTCAATGGGGAATCTTTGTCTTGCAATGTGAAGAAGAGTGCTTGAGAGAATTAATACTGCAATCACGATGGTCTTTTGTTGAGTGAAGCTAATGCTAATTTGAGGAACATAAACGGATTTCGTAATGTGTACTCTTTATCCATCAAATAGGAAGACATGAGCCCGTGGTTCTTTCTACATTATTGTTTTCTGGAAACATACATTTCATTACCCTTTCATAAATGGTTGGCCATATACATGGAATTAATGACACATTGACAAGGATATTTCTTATTTTTGCACAAGTTAAAGGTTCTGAGAAATGCATCGGTAAATGCAGAGACTAGCGGTCAGCACCAACTCCTACCACTGGTCTTCTTGGTTATTTCGGTAAATTCACGTAGAATGGAAATAATAAAATAATAAAAATGAAACATAATAAAATGAAAATTATTTTAAAGTCACGTAGAATGGAAATAATAAAATAATAAAAATAAAACCTAATAAAATGAGAATTCTTTTATTATGTTTTATTTTTATTATTGTATTATTTCCATTCTACGTGACTTTACCGAAATAACCAAGAAGATGAATCCCTGCAGTCACGAAAGCTTTAAATCGAAAAGAAAAAAAAATCCTACCACTGGCTCAACAGTGCTTGCAGCGATTATTACCGGCCCATGTTCATTTGAGCAAGAAGAGACTTTTGACTTTGAAATTGCAAAAGAAAACTATCGTAAAAGTAAAATTCTCTTCCTATCGTTTTGTTTTCTGTCTACATTGTTAGAACATAGTGCTGAGGTTATTTTACTATGGTTAAAAGATTTAAATTGTTGCCTTCCACTCAACCATGGACCTTTACCGGACCAGGGCGAATAAATAAAACATCGCCGACCGACCATAACAGATTGTAACATGAAATGTTGATGAGGGCGTTAAAGTGCACATCTAGGAGACAGTTTAAAAAAATCATAAACTAGCATCAACAGACAGTAAAAAAACCCAAAAGTGAAGTGTTACCACTTGCCTACAATACACAGAAGCGCTTGACATTCCCCAGACGCCTGCCTTCTCTTTTCAAAACTTAAACTTGTCATATACGTGCGGCCTAACGGCTTGCTAACTGAAAGGAGGCAGCAGCCGAGAGTTGCGAGTAAAAGCTAGGTCGGCCGTGAGCTAAACTACATGGACAAAGTCAGCACTGCACGCAGGGGCCACTGAAGGCTTATCCAATACGATTTGGATCTTTAAAGCATCTAAATGCAGCCGCATTATCAAGAAGTTGCACAAAATAGTTCGGATGGTTTATTTTTACAGAAAGATGAAGACTTTATGATTGAAGACACATTTCAAAGAACTGACAGTCACACGAGAGGCCAGGCAGGTGCCTTCCTATAAATGAGTTGAGTCAATATGCTGCTTCCCCACTGAAAACTCTGCCCCCTATAAAAAGATTATCAGGCAATCTGTCGTTTAGCTACCTATTAAAACATCCTTGGCACTAAGTCAATAAAATACATGTCCTTACTGTGCGGGCATTACAGCTTTTATTATTCAGCAGCCAGCCCATACAGCATGTTGGCATTTGGTTTGTAGCATGATACCACCTGATGCGGTCTCCTGCTGCCACTAGGCAATCACATGTCATGCACAGGTGGGATAGTGCCGCAATGTGAACTGCATACTGATAGACTGTGTGTTCTAAGCATAGTTTAGATACTGGCTATACCTTTTACACAAGCCTCCCTAAAGTAATTATCCTTCTATCATGCTAACTGCACGTGATCAAATTTCATTAATCAGAGTAAATTACTTAATCGCAATCTTGAGAGTAAATGTTTTGGAAACTAACTGCAGGCAACTGCAGCAGTTATACCTCTGAACAAATCACGAGGAATGTGCTCAATCTCATCAGATCTCAGACGCTAACCAGGGTTGAGTGTGGATAGAGCTTGGATGAGTGACCATCACGTACAAACAGGTTGTTATGGGGCCTGCAAGGCTAACTGGTAGAGGGCAATACTGCTGTGTAGGTATTCGCAACTGTGTCTGGATATATTTTGGGTATTATTGCATGTCCAGTGTTGTGCTGTAGTTACAAATCCATGCTCTTTGTCTTCTCTAACCGGCACTGACTGCTGTGGTTAAGTATGGTCATTTAACTCCCATGGCCCATGCAGTATGGGAAGGTCCAGATTGACCAAATTGACCAAACATATATTTACCATAATCAAGGTATTCTCCAGATTATAAAATGCATATTTTCCCATATACTTTTGAATAAAATATTTCATCTGGTATTACATTTTGGACCATATTTGGAAAACTTTATTAACTCCTGGCCGAAGTTTGCGGTGTGTCTTACCTTCCGGAATGTCTTATAATCCAGAGAATATTGTAAACAGTACATAAGCTATGTTTATCGACTGTAAATAACAAGCATTATGAAACAAGTCGTTGTGCAAAAATAAAAAATGAGATTGTATGTATGTATGTTGAACTTCTTTCGCACCGTACGTAGCCAACCGTGTTAATCGGAGGTATTGGAGTGCTGAATAACTGTGGTAAGCATATAGGCCAATGAAAATGGATGGTTAAATTCCAAGAACTAAGCAGACATTTTTATGGAACTGCATGTCTAAAGTTAACAACTTTAAAGATTACAACAAAGCCCTTTGCACCACCTAGCAAATCCCAAGCAAAGTGAATTAATATTTTTTCCTCAATGAATACCATATCTGGTTTCTATTAGCGTTCAGTTTTCTCTGTACAGTACTTATTTAAAAAATGTTACTTCGTTTATTCGAGGTCTCTCTAGCATGATTATATATATTGCCTTTTCAGTAGCCTTTCGCCTTGTTTTAAATAAAAGCTACTCGGTTCATTTTGGCAGTCATTCACCGACGTTCTAATTAGAAATAGCAGAAATTACTCCAAAAAATGCCTTTCTTTCCATTCATTGCAACTTAAATCCATAAAAAAAAACTTTCAGCAGTATATCTTCTTGGTTCTTTCGGCAAAGTCACGTAGAATGGACAGACCTGTTCTCCACCTGAGGACGGCTGTTTGCGTTGTGGCCGAAACGTCGTGAGAATTATTTTATTATGTTTTATTTTTATTATTTTATTATTTCCATTCTACGTGACTTTACCGAAAGAACCAAGAAGATGAATCCCTGCAGTCACGAAAGCTTTAAATCGAAATTTCAGCAGTATATTTAACCCAGTTTTGAGTAAGATATATAGAAAACATTTTTATCCATATTATCAATGTTTAAATCCCTTCTTACTCAAATAAACATTGCTCATTTGAGAAAACAAAATACACTGGCCACATAGGTGTGGGTTGTGAGTGTGGAATTTTCCAGCTACCCTGCATTTGACTGGAGTTATATAAACCAGAGTTCTCTATTCAGCCATTTCCTTTTCCTCACTTCCTTTTCCTCACACTTTATACCCTAGCTGGAGACTCGGTGACATTAATTGTGTTTAAATGTTTCCATTTTTAGGTGGCCTGACAGCTGGCGTAGTAGTTAGTGAGCTCGTAGCTAAGTTAATTTTCTCAGTCGACAGTTCTATTCCAGCTAATGCGCAGTAATTTTGCAATGGAAATATAAGCGGCAGGCAATGTGCAGTAACGTGTCTCGTCCCCTGCTTGTGGCCCAGTGCCAGTAGTGGCACCTCCACATTCCCATGCAATAGCAAATTAAACTCATTATAGATAAAAAAAATACTGATATGCTTTGATTTAATATAGCATATACATTTAATTTATACACACGAAACTCAGTCCATTATCGATCCAAAGTGTTTATTCTGGAACAAAATCCTAAAAATCTTAGATGTTCAACAGCTCGAAGCTGCACTGTACCAAGAACAAAAAAATTCCCGTGGTTTTCACTTATCCTCTGTTCATGCCCCAAACACCTGCAATTCCATCACTTCAAAATGTCCTTGGTTACTCTTCAAACTAAACCACCATATTTAATGCTGAGCTGTCGATTATTTAGAACTTTACTTTCAATTGCAGTTCACATATATCCTGGTTTGTTTTCATATGAGGACTATAGTTACACTATTTTTGCTTAACGTTTCTGTAACTTTATTGAAATTATATTATGATCAGCCTAAAAATAATCTTCCTGTGCCGACTGACGTTCCAGGGAATATATTATTAAACGTTAATGGTTGTGCAATATTTTAAATTTCTAACACGACAGTGGTTTTTATTCTGAATTATATTTTCTTCAGCACTGCACTTTATTTTAATTGTTTAGCCTTTTTTATTTTGGTGATCCAGGTCACTCTTGCAAATGAGACAATCGTCGTCTATTTAGTTCTCACCTGGTTAAAGAAATAAAGTTGAACTTAAACGTGACTCCATCTCAAGATGCTTTAAAGACACAGTAGACATGTATAATTATTGATAAAGAGACCGAATCGTAATATTTATTTACGTATACTGGAGAAATCCGATTAGCTATGAAGCTCTTTTCCACAGATGTCCAGTAGTCATATAGGCAGAGGGAAACATGAAGGTCTTGAGCCTGGACATGAAAGAGTAAAAGAGAGATGGCAGCATGGATGAATGGAGCAAAGAGAGTTCGACTATAGAGGCAGCAGAGCAGAATGGGTGACCTCTCAATGAGCGAAGATTGACTGGGGGCTTCAACAGAAAGCCTTGGTTGCTGGAGTTGAAAATGTGTACAGAGGAGTAGAGTGAAATGAATATAGTGGTGGAGTGCTTATTGTATAGTCCTGGACGAGTTGTAGAAATTCCACATTCATATGACAGAGGAAAGTCACCCCATGGGTCAGAACTGCTTTTTGTGTTTAGTTTGTCCTTCCCCCCACAATTACGATAAGCATGGTTGGCTACGTACGTTACATACATACTTTACGTGGTATGTTGCAAGTGTTTAGTGTTTACAAGTGCACATACTGCGTTTCTGGCCCATGCCACCGCCGCTGAGAGCAGATGGGAAGATGAGATGCAGATGCTCCCAGTCGGTCTCGCAATCATGTAGCCAGCTCCTGAAGAAGCCCTCCAGGATGACAGTGCTGCCCTCCAGAGTTTGTACGTCAATTAAGCTTGACAGAGAACCGTCTGTGAGGCACATTACATTTGAATAGCAGAAGAGATGGAAATGTAGTTTAATAAATGAATACATCGGTCTGTTAAGCTCTTAAATTATCTCTTGATTTGTCTCTTCAAAGATCTACACATATATGTATCTGTGTCTATCGATCTCAGTATTTGTCTGTCTACGTAATTATCATCTAGCTGGGTGGTGTTGTGGTTCATAATTGTAATGTTGATAGTTGCAAGTTCAAATTGTATTAAGAGGTCAAGTTATGCTGTCTTCCCTCTAGGGTAAAAAATAATAATACCACTTTGTGGGAAATCACCTGTATTCATTGAATGGAGACTCACCGTAGACATCGAATATGGAATTAAAATCCTTGGCTCAGGGTTGCCATATGACGAATTTGAATAGGGAGACATTTAAAAACTTTAAAAACTAAGAAGCAGGTGGACGCCCAAGGTCGGTGCGTGGTAAAATAAAATGAGGAAAAAGTTCACGTCATTAAATTGTCGTGTGTAAAATTAGCTGTAATAAAAGCGAGCATGCTTTAACAAGTCAAAGTAAACTCCATGCTCAAATGACTGTTGAGCAATTCCCATCTCGTTTGGCAGTTCAATGGTGGAAAGTCCGCATCTATTTGGAGTTGATTCCCAACTAAGATTTCAACTCAGACACCCCTCTGATTTGTGAGTTTGGTGCCCTGCCCGTGTCACCTGTCGAGATGGTCACCGAAGACTGCTATCAAAAAGCATAGGTGTAAAAAAGTTTTTGCTCACTTCAATTCAGTTGTGCTTAGCACTGAGGTTCTTCATCGGAAAATGGACAGACGGGTGCAAACATTTGTATGGGACAAGTGAAGTAGTACAGTCTAGTGGTTGCTGGTAAAACAGGCTGTATTGAAGAGATATTCGGAGGGTGGGGGGTGGTTGTTCTTTGATCCAAGCCCAATCAGCAAGGTGATGTTGGTGTTGAAGTGTGAAATCTGCTCGGCAATGTGCCGTCAAGTAACATTGGTCACTTTTCAGACATTCCTGTTATGTCTTAACAGAAATGTAAGCCTTCCTCGATTATTAAAGCAACAACTTAAAGACAAATTCAATAACCTATTTGTTGCGCTGGTTTGCATGGAGTGAACAGTACAATGCCAGATATAATTACCCAGTAATTCCTCCAGGGAATAACCAAAAAGTGGATGGTAACGACCCTGCAACATAATTGGCATTGTTATAATCAAAACTTGCTGGAGACTTTAAATGTATTTATTAAAAGTAAAAAAATAACCTCAATCAATTTACAGCTACAAAAACGGAGATCTCTCTTGCAAAAGGGAGAATGCATAACAACGAACTGTCACCTTGTTTAATAGAGACGATGACTAATTCGTTGTAATAAGTTGTTTTTGCATTGCAATTTTTGTTTGGGAATATTTTGCCTTGACAGCAGCATACTGTACTGTGGTGCACCACATATATTCAAATTGACATAGCTTGGTAGTTTGGACAGAATGTACATCTGCCTCCCAGATTTCAACAGAGAGTATTGGCTACACATAGGTTCCAATATTTCATCCAATTTTCCTGAACAATAATATGCTCCAGATAATCCGAGCTGAGAAATGATGCTACTTTCTTATGAACCAGTGTGAGTCCTGAGTAATGCACACATAGGGGAGGCAGATTTTACAATTTTATCAGGACAGTGGTATGTTAAACAATGCACAGAACATTATAGGTGAAGCATATGAATGTCTCTGATAAAGTCATGAAGTCTGTTCACCTTATGCACAGCACACATATTTTTCATTATTATTGTTATCATTTTGTTTCCATCATCGCTGTTTTATGATGGTACTCATTTTTCGTTGCGGTAAACCTTGTGATGAAAATACGTTAAAGAAAATACATTATAGCATATCAGGGACATCATCATAACCATTATCATACGCATGAATAGTATGCAGTGTGCCATCAGGCCAAGATTTTTCTCAGACCATTTCAGCAGCATAACACAAGGACTTGTATTCACATCATACAAAAGACACTCATTTTGATGTAATTCCAAAAACCATTACTGCAGGACAAATCATATATGGCCTATGTTAAGAGTAGGCCAAATCACCAAATGCTTCATGCTGGGTAATTCCAAAAGTTGTACCTCTTTTCCTTACAAGTAGAAGTGAGGTAGCATTGTTGATCATAATGGTCTGTTTGTTCACGCAGGTGCAGAATTTGTATATGGGACATGCTGTGAATTCTAGAAATGTCTTCAGACCATAACACAGGTGTGGCCACACTCATGCAACCTTTTGTCAATCCACTGCTGGATAAAGACCCCCCAAGCTATGTCGCTCATGCATACTGTTTGACCATACTTCACCATATAGGTTTGGTGAAGGGACAGGGGTTGGATGGGACAAAACCATTTCAGATTTTACATGCAACTGATGCTATCCATGGTTGGGAATTGGATGTAGGTAGCTGGGTTCATAGCGCAGCATGCTTAGCCACTGCATCACCATCATAGTTTACCTAATAAACCCGCAATGAGAAGTATTGATAGGATGTAAGTCATCTTCTTGGTTCTTTCGGTAAAGTCACGTAGAATAGAAATAATAAAATAATAAAAATAAAACATAATAAAATAAATCTCACGACGTTTCGGCCACAACGCAATTAGCCGTCCTCAGGTGGAGAACAGGTCTGTCGAGGAGACAGAGTCTGAACGACAAGCCCCAGGCTTGTGGGAAATGCATATCTGCATTTCCCATAAATATGCTAAATTCCTCTTGATATGCAAATTATTTTGTCAAGGTGCTCTTCGCCCCTCCATCCCAGCTTATATAGTCGCTCCAAGCCTCAGGCTTGTCATTCAGACTCTGTCTCCTCGACAGACCTGTTCTCCACCTGAGGACGGCTGCTTGCGTTGTGGCCGAAACGTCGCGAGAATGATTTTATTATGTTTTATTTTTATTATTTTATTATTTCCATTCTACGTGACTTTACCGAAAGAACCAAGAAGGTGAATCCCTGCAGTCACGAAAGCTTTAAATCGGGATGTAAGTCGCTAAGGTGTCTTAGTGCAGTACTGTAAGTGAGCTGCTATGCAGTGCAGACCATTGGTGGCATTGAATGCTGATGGCGAGGGGATCATCTCCGGGCTGCTGAGGCTGTCTTTGCTGGTGTCTTCTCTCAGCGCCAAGCCCTGCTCCCCCAGGTCCGTGTGTACCAGGTCCACGCAAACCACCTGCACCCTCTTGAGGTAGTCGAGCTCTGCACTGGGCAGGAAGCTGTGAAGCAATCTTATGATGTTCGCTCTGTCCGACCACGTCACCACGGTCACCTGAAGTAAGTGTAAGGGGGAAGGGGGGTAGGCGTTGATGTGGTAGGTTGTTGGGAAGGTATAGATAAGTAGATATAGGTATAGCTATATCTACAGGTAGTCCCCGACTTACGATGGTCCGACTTACGATATTTCGATCTTACGATGGCGATAGCGATATGACTAAATTGTTAAATATTTTACATTTCGCGCGGCAGGCAAACGCAGCAGCGTACGAGGTACGATACTGTACGTTGGGACGCTGCCGGGATGTACTGTACGCATATAGTTTATACAGTACGGTACTGTAAATTGCTCTGTTTTGCTAAATTATCACCATTCTTTAAGACTCCTGGGTAGGCGAGGCTATTTTCGACTTACGATATTTTCGACTTACGATGGGGTCGTCGTAACGTATCTCCATCGTAAGTCGGGGACTACCTGTATATGGATAGTATGGATTGGTAGATACATATATAGTAATAGAGGTATGGAAAGTTGGAAGAAAATAAAATTGGATGGAAAAATGGACAGACTGTGGATAGATATTAATCCAAAGTATCTTCTTGCTCCAATGAGTAATGGTACAGCGTTCATCTGCTTTGGAGGCAATGACCTGTTTGTGGAAATTCTAAATTTCTATGGCAAAGGCTAGTCTCTCTATAGATGAGCACTATTAACTTCCCACAAAGTGGTACTTGTTTTATTAACTCTTATGTAGACTCCCCGATGGGGTTTTAACTTGCGACCCACAGATGTGAGTTGAGTGCTCTAACCCAAAGTGCCAACCAGGAGGATGACACAGAGGCAGAGAGGAATAGATACACTTCAAATGGATGAGAGCCCATTGATAAATGCACCTCTATTGCTGGATTATGAATATGGGCATCACACGTGCCTGAGTTATGAATGCTACACATAATCATCACCATGAATCAGTGTATTTTTTTAATGAAAAGCCATTTACAATCACACATTTTTTTAAATAAAAGGCCTTAAGCAATCAATTTCAAATCACTTCAGGATAAATGATTTGAGCTTAGCATACTTAGTCCAAATATGGATACTTTAAAATGTGCTCATGGTACCAGCATAAACAAAGAAAAATATCCTCTGTATATCCTTAACAGACTGTTGGAGCAAGTTCTATTAGCGAAGACCTATTAAGGCCAGCACGGCACACGAGGGGGTGGGTAGCCAACACCACTCTGGGCTGCCTTTGTCTCCCGAGTGCTGATGTTACAGATCACACCAGGTACTCATTTGAGGTTGAGTTGACCTAGGGGAGGCCGAGGATCGGTTCAGATATTCGTCGCTGGTGTTGGTCGTGAGTGGGAATCAAACTCAGGTCGCTGGGTTCGTAGCGCAGAGCGCCAACCCGCAGACAAGCACACACATAGTGTGTCTACTCTGAATAATTTCCCAAGTTTGTTCCATCTGGTGGATTTTACTCATTGGTAATTCCATGCAGTAATTACAGGGCTACTGTGGGAATCAAAGACCTGACCCCATAAACATTTAACTGGCTCAGTGGGGAGCATGCTGACCACGAGACTAACCCAGCAACACTCTGCTCTTAGTTTGGACACAGCATGAGTATATTGTGTTTTATATTTTATTTAACCTCCCTGTGGTTCATATCGAGTGAGTGAAGCATAGCAACAGTTCACAATATTTGAAGTGACTTTACATATTTTGTAACAGTTTAACTCATTTCCTGCTTAAATGTCGGGAGGTCCTAATGTTTACCTTCCTGAGCCAGTGACAGCAAACATTCCCTTGTTAAGGGTGCCTCGTTGACATAACCACAATTGGCTTCCCACAAAAGTGGTACTCGTTTTAGTGACCCAAAAAGATTGTTATTCAATCCCCGAATGGGTTCTGAACTCACAACTTTTTGCTCTAACCAGTGTCACCCGAATACATTTTGCAATTATATAAGCAATGAAATAAAAACACTGCGATATGGTATATAACAACATGCCTTGCTTTCTCTCTACACACTATTACCTGTGATGGCACTTGTAATACGTTGACACTGATGGGGTTTGTATCGCTTTCCTGATGATAATAGCGAGCTCACTAAAGCTAAGTGCTTCGCAATTTCGTCAAGAAATCAGCTTCGTATCATGCTGGGGGTTGAAATGCTAGTCGAAGCCAAAGTAAAGTCAAAACTCCCTCAGGGGCTGCATGTTTATTTATTTCTAAAAATGCCACTGACGCAGAGCCGTCAGGGTTATACAATCTAGGGCCGGGGCAAGATAAATTTAAAGCTGTTGAAAGCCAAAGAACATAGGGAAGGAGCGTAGATTGAGAGGTGTGTGGTCAACAGAGTAATTTCTTGCATTATGGACTAACTGGGCTAATATTTAGCACTTCAACTTGTTTGCCGACATGTATGCATTTAGTGGGTCCATGAGGGATCAGAGAGTCTGTGAGTAATTTCCTGTTTGGTCTGTGGATCAGATCTACCACTCAAACCATAGCTGTGTTACATCACTGTCAAAATAACACAGTATGAACCATAGACGTGTCACCAGTGCCAACCCAAATGTGCTGCAGATTACGGTTAGTGGTGACAGTTTGGTTGTGTGCAGATACGCATTAGTGATGAACCTTTTGCATATTGCGTACGTAGAGTTTTGACACCACTGCCTACCAAGCACTAAAACCATGCAAACATGCTGTCGAAATGAAAAAAAAGAGCCTCTTGACATTATGCCAAAAATGTAAACAGAACTTAAGTATGGCTTTTAAAGCATTTGCTCTCAGTTGTTTGAGTCAGAGCTCTTCAAATGGTGATTTTTTTTTGCTGCCTGGCACTCTACTGCAGTGGTGCCGAATAAATCAGGCAACTTAGCGACCGCGTGACATAACAGCATAGAGGGTGTAATTTGCTTCTCAATAGATAATGATGTTGACTGTTATAGCTCACCTTGAGCAGAGGGTTCAGAGATCCGAGCATAAAGAGAGTGGTGCTCGCAGCGCCGATTATGTAAATCGGCAAACGGCACTAAAAATAAGTGAGCGAGGTAGCTGGATGGCTTAGGGGGGGCTGATACCACGTCAGAGCATGCAGCAAAGCACTGTTGAGACCCTGGTTTTGAATTTACGTTTCAGTCACCCGCGATTGAACTGGGCAATCCAGTATAGCAAGTAAATGGTTTCATATTCTTAGGTTTTTTCGGTAAAGTCACATAGGTAAAACATCAAAATTAATAAAAGTAAAATAAAATAAAAATCACGACGTTTCGGAGGCAACACAAGCCTCCGTCCTCAGGTGGAACCGTCACAGCCACGGCAGCTGTATCAAGTAAATGAGAGATTGCAGGAGCTACCACTCCGTTTATATAATGGTTGGAGAGGGGGGAAGGGCCAAGTACAGCACACTTTTTATTCGTCGTGATTTTAATTTTATTTTACTTTTATTAATTTTAATGTTTTACCTACGTGACTTTACCGAAAAAACCTAAGAATATGAATCCTTGCAGTCACGAAAGCTTCAAATCTAGATGGTTTCAGCCCGATCATCAATGACTGAACCAAAACAACCACATTATATTTGCTTTTCCAATTATTTCAGCAGAATCAACTCTGTAGAATAATTATATGTTTGATGTAATTGTCATGTGAGCAGGGCATGTGTACATGTGCACCGCCTAGTGTCAATAAGAGGCAATTTAAATGGCCGGCATGAGGGTTGTGCTACCCGTGTGACCAGACAGAGCAATATTTTGTACCTTGCAATTTTCTTAATACCTTCCATAAGACCACATTAAATCACGGTCGTGGCGGTGGAGTTTACACAGGGTGCCATTTCACATAAGGCCAGCCCTGGACTTCATCATATTCCAGGGGATTTTGTCTGACAAAAAGTGATATACCTTTGACTGTGAGATTAAGATTGTTTTCCTTTTGTTATCGTACTGCATGACTTTGATAGCAACAGCAGCGCTCACCTCAAGCATAAACCTCTTCAGGCTGCCGTTCTGTCGCAGCTGAAGCAGGTGGTGTTGGAAGTTAGCCAGTGCATCTTGCAGGGCACCTTGGAGACCGTCCACACGGCGATCCACAGGCGCCACCCTTGCCAGTGATCGCAACTCACGCAGGCACTCTTGTATGCGTGCGTGGCCGCCCTTCACCTGCTGCGTGAGGCAAAGTCATGGCAAAGCACATGTCGACAGGCCCATGCGTTGATCCTTGCACTACCTCATACTAAGTCAGTCTCCATTGAAATTATGCATTGCAGCAATAATAGTGTAATACATCTTGGCTTAAAGCCTTCGTGACTGCAGGAATTCATATTCTTTGGGTCTTTCGGGAAAAGTCACGGAAATAGGTTCAAATTAATAAAAATAAAATAAACTAGAAGCTACGACGTTTTGATCACAACACAAGCGATTGTAATCAGGAGGAAAACAAAGAATATAATAATAGTAATGTTATATTCTTGGTTCTTTGGGTAAAGTCACGTAGAAGGGAAATAATCAAATAATATAAATATAAAACAATTAAAATTATCACGTTTCGACTGCAAATACAAGCAATCATCATCAGGTGTGAAATCCACAGCAAGAAAATTTGGCAATTTTTTTTTCTTACTGTGGATTTCACACCTGATGATGATTGCTTGTGTTGCAGTCGAAACGTCGTGATAATTTTATTGTTTAATATGAATCCCTGCAGTCACGAAAGCTTTAAATCAAAATAGTAATGTTATTTAGTTATTAATGAAAGCCTTACTGAGTTCCATTACTTTTTCAGAATGTATCTGCATTAGGATGTTGATCCAATTAATTTTTACGGAGTGTTTTCACGTGAAGAAACCAGAGCATTTGAAAAAACTCTAAATGTATGAGAGGATGATACTAAAAAAACCCACACATATCTTCATGACCCCACTTTCTGTACTGCCATCTCCTGGCCAACGTATAGCCCAGTGGATTTGGGAGTTTCAGAAATCTATGTGTACCACGATGTATGACAATAAAATAATCATGATCATGGGCCATGGTCTATTCACTGCTGGATGAATGCCTCCCCACACTATCACCATCCCTCATGGTCCTGATCCATCTCATTCTGGCATATGAATTGACCTCATTGCGGCATGTCTGTGGTGCATCTCCACTCAGGTACATTCTTTCCTTCGCCTACCACTGTGTCACTTGTTTTGCTGAAAGACCATCATTCCTTCTAGCAATGAGTCATGTCCAAGCTCATTGACTTAAATGTCAATGTGATGTTTGGCAAAAAACCTGGAAATGTCAAGAGTGTAAGTGTCCTTGTGTACAGATGAGGGCAAGATGCCTTTCATCTCCACTGGCGATAGAGGCTGGTTGTAAGCTTACATTTCAGCTGGGGTGAGATTCAGCCCATTGTCTCCCTGATGTTAAATAAATAATTACTGCTTTACAGAAAGTCAAAAGTGGTTGTTCTATGGATATAACGGGCCCCACGATATACTGTACAGTCAAGCTCCGTTTATCTGGGGTAAACGGGGGGGGACAGGTACCCCAGTTCCAAATATCCGGGGTCCCAATTGGGGATTCACTCATTTATCTCGGGAGCGTGACCACAGATAACCCGGACGATAGGTGTCAAGATGTTAACTACCTCACCTGGTATACAAGAGGTCTAGGGTTCGATCTCGACCCTCATTCTCTCCACATTTACAATCAATATACGTTTAGAGTATGTGGATGCTATACATTTCCACCTGATGAGCCACTTCATTGAGCTATCAATTGTGGCCAGGTTGCGCCCGAAAAAGAACTATATAGCTCAAGTGGGCCTTACATGGTAAAATTAAAAAAAATGTGTTTAGTTCATATTCTTGGTTCTTTCGGTAAAGTCACGTAGAAGGGAAATAATAAAATAAAAATATTAACCAATTAAATTCTCACGACGTTTTGACTGCAACACAAGCGATTATCATCAGGTGTGAAATCCACAGCAATAATTTTTTTCTTCCAAAATTTCTTGCTGTGGATTTCACACCTGATGATGATTGTGTTACAGTCCAAACGTCGTGAGAATTTCATTGTTTAATATTTTTATAATTTTATTATTTCCATTCTACGTGACTTTACCGAAAAACCAAGAATATGAATCCCTGCAGTCACGAAAGTTTTAAATAAAAAATGTGTTTAGTTCAGTTTAGGATATTTGTAAGAATCCCGCCCACCTGTGACACGTGACTAAACCGTCACCAATTAGGGCGTGGCCAGCAAGCAAGGGTGAGGGGACTCTCGAGGGGATTCTTTGATGAAGTTTAATCACACGTCACGGAACAATGTCGAAGGTCAGGTGTTTGCCCCTCAGGCACCAGTCCTGTGGGGTCTCTCCTAACAAGATTGCAAGAAAGCTCTCTTCCCATAGCCATCGCTTTGAAAGCAACTGCTCACCTGCCCAAAAATAAAAGTAGTCATTATGAATAGACATGGAATTTGCACCAGTGGCTTAGAACTATTAAAGCGCTCATTTTACCTGTGGGACACTACCGTACTTCTTGACATTACATTTATATACCTGTTTAATATCTTCTCATACTCAACCAAGCATTTATTGTTGCTCCTATCCATTGGCCGACCAGGATCAGTGGCAGAAATTCCATATTCCTTTGATGGGAACCAATCTCACCATAGGAGAGCCACTGTTGACTTCTCATTGAGTGGAGTAACCTCACTAGGAGGTGCTCTTTTTACAGACCCCAAAGGGATCACAAGCTGAGATTGACCTTGGCCGGGTTTAACTTTCAATCTCACAACTGGGATCCCTGTTGCTCTGTCAAATGTGCTATATCACAGCCCACTCTACTACGCGTATGCAGCACTTTATTACTTTTGTTTATTGTCTCCTTTCAGAAATGTGTTTTATCCAAACACCCTTACATCCCCTGTTGTATAAAAACACCCTTGTAAAACAACTGTGCTTCGACAATTCTCTTTCAAATTATTTCACCTTATCTTCCCTCCATTGCACAGTATCTTCTAATAAGATATGTTCAAATTCCTTATGAACCCACATTGTAATATTGTTTAATTGTGTTTGCAAATGTTTCCTTATGATATACAACTTTTACTCATACATCATTCGGCCACGTGGTTCCATTGTTAGAGCTCACAGCTCACATTTGGAAGGTTGCAAGTACAAATTCATCCCACCTATCATCTCTCCATAGATGTTAAAATGAATACCATGTTGTGGAGAACCAGTACACTATTTTACCTATGGATAGACTAATCTCCACCATAGGAATATGTAATTAATCACTGGCTTATGGCTGTAAATGTGAAATGACCACTACCCTACACATGTTTTGAGATAGAAATCATACTCTTTGGTTTTTTCGGTAAAGTCACGTAGGTGAAAACAAAATAAAATAAAACTAAATTAAATCACGACGTTTCACACAAGCATCCGTCATCAGGTGTGACAACTCCAGCAAAATTACTGTAGCGTATAATTTTGCTGGAGCTTGTGTTGCTTCCGAAACGTCGTGATTTAATTTAGTTGTTTTATTTTTTGTTTTCACCTACGTGACTTTACCGAAAAAACCAAGTTGCAGTCACGAAAACTTCAAATCTAGGATATAAATCCTATTGACATTTTATCACAGTAAAACTTTTGGCACCAATGAATCCAAAGAGTGGTTCATGAAGTTGAAAAATCATCCAGAGATTTATAAACATGTGGCTAAATGGAAACTGTTTTTTAAATATTTAAATCTTCAAAATCAACACCACCAACATAATAACCTGCTTGCAGTGCTCTAACCTGCACAGTGATGTTCAAATTGACTTGCCACGGTGAATCTAGGTAGGTTTGTCAAAACCACACACACTCAAGGTGGCTAGAAATTCTGTTTCCCAATCATTGGTCTCCCCTCTCAAAATGAGCTCTGCAAAAGCTATTTGTTGAAAACCATAACGAAAAAAACAATTGTCTTCAAGTGGCGCTGATGGAGCCTGCCGCTCTTTGCTGTTGAGATTGAAATACAGCTAATACAGTACCGCCTTCCATTCAATACCACTGTCATCCTTCTTTTGATGCCCTTGTAGAATTTTTGTTGTCAGTAAAATGTGGCTAAATACCACAGCTCTGAACACCAAAGAAGCACCTGTTGCTTGGCCTGGCACTAAGTAAATATCACCTAACTTGCACTATTATCTTGAGCTCATGTTTAAATTAAAAAATACAGTTATGAGAGCCAGTTTTGGTGGCTCAGAGTATTAATGTACATGTCATAGCAATGAGCTCATGTTGCAGAGAACTATGGTTAAAGTCTATGCCAGTCCAGAGATCAAATCAGGTGCTTAAGTTTAATGTGTTGATGGACCTGTTTGTCCAAGCTTGGCCCATGCCAATTACTGCATGGGTAATTTAGCCTACCTCAGATCTGAGGGTTTAAATTCACTGACGTAAATTATTGACATTCTGTGGAGCACTCTTTAAAAAACATGATTGAGACGTTAAAAGTAATGGCAATAATTGGTATTTCCTGCCACGATCATTTTCTGAAGGGACATCATCCTCTGTTGACTACAGGTAATCCAGAATTATAAATGTCTCATGCCTTGATTTGGCAATTTAGGTATATAAATGTTAAAACACTATCAACGTGTATCAAAACTGTATTATCAACATAAATTATTCAAATAAAATATAAGAGAGGATGACAGGTCTGAACACTATTTCAAACAAAAACATATTTTTTGCAATTTTATTCCTACTGTGCTGTGGGACTCATGTCTTGTGACATGTAATTTTACATTTGGTACACTCAAAGAAAGCAGTCCATCATCCCACATTAGTGATTGGCCTCTGGAAGATGACATCACAGAACTACTCCAGAGGTCCGTCCAATTGCCCCTTAGCCATAGTTATCAGTGAAAAAGCTTTTCACATGACCTATTATAAGAGGAATCCATTGCCAGGCGATCAAACCACCATTTTATTTCTTCCAATCCTGGAATAAACTTAATGAGTTGAAAAAGCTATTTTTTTTCCCTGTGCAGTCATTGGTGACCATACAGAGGCCATCAAATTGCTATATTGGAGAATCCAGTTTAATCATGGGTCTTTGCCCAGCTCATTACTCTGACACAGAATTAGTTCTATGAACCAACCAAGCACCTCCCAT